GTGCAGTCAATTTTTGTTATGCTGTTGTAAAGTTTTAAGGCTGCCTCATTGTGAATTGGAAGGGTGATTTAGTAGGTCTTGGGGTATTTTACAAGATTTAAGGAAAGTAGGGTAGTGGTCTGGGGTATTATCTTAATTTGCTGTTTTTTAAAAGGGGGATATGGTTTTGGGCCCAGAGGGGTCAAGTGGGAAAAACACTATCTCCGAAACCTTGTGGGTTTTGTTACTTTTGGTAGCAAATGCAGTTATCTGTGTTTGGAATTCAGTAACGTGGGGGTCCGGTCTTGCGGAGATTTGTTTTGAAGTCACCTAGAGAGTAAGTGATCTTTGTTCTGGTGCATCAGTTATCATATTCCTTTTTTTGACTAAATTGGTAATGTTTGATGTGGAACTCTGAATGTTTATAAATGTAAGGGGTTTTTTGTGGGTTTTTGGTTTTGAATTTGCTATTATTTTTCCCCCATGTTCATCCCTTGTGCAAGTTTTATGTAAATTCTAGTTGGTCTGAGTTTTAGGGTGTGCCCCCCCCTTGTTGGTCTGGCCTACAGTTGTGTATGGCTGTGTAACCGGGAAATGGCAAGACATTGAGTATCAGGCTTTGCCAGGTTTCATTAGTGTAAGGACATATTGCTGCAAGGAATTTATAAAGTAGGAGGTCATCATAAGCTTTCTTAAAGATCTGATATTGAGTTAAAGATAGTTATTTGTTGTTGGCTCTAGAAATGCCTTTGATTGTTTTGCTGTGTAGTAATTTCGTAACGTTTGATCATTTAAGTCATTAAATAAGGGTTGGTATCAGGTAATGCTTTAATCAAAGATTTGTAGTGAATCTATAGTTAGAATTAAATAAAAAAAAAAAATTTTAAGCTAAAAAAAAAAAGCCCTAAAATTTAACAAAGTAAAAAGAGCTAAGGTAGTTTTTTAAGCAAAATAAAGGAGACAATTAAAAGGGGCTAAAAAAAATTTTTGGTGAACAAAAAAAATGTGATCAAATAAAGGGGGCTTTGGGGAAATAAGTAGGTATACTTTAAAAGGGAAAACTTTAAAGTTAGAATTAAAATAAAAATTATAATATAAAAGGGCTAAGTAAGTTTTGGTGAACCCAAAAAAGTGGTAATCAAATAATTTCCTAAGGCTAATATAAAAGACTTGTGGAGCTGTTTTAGCTAGAATGAGCAATACAAATAGATTTAACAATAAAATAACAATACAAATTAAAAATACACCATTCTCTCCAGTAATTGCAATATGGGTTTAAATAATGAAATGGATTGATATAGTACAACTGAGTTTTAAATTTAAAAATATAAAAAAGGGACAAGACACTCAATTTTAAATTTTCACTAAAGGGTTATATAAGTTGTTTACAAGAATTAAGTATAACTAGATTTTAAAATTTACAAGATAAAAAAAACAATTAAGGTAGCAAAAAATAAAAAAAAGAAAAAAAAAATGAGGAGTTGGTACAGTTTTCAAAAGATAGTCAAGGGCCTTGAACAATAAAATAATTTAAAAAACACTATTGCACACACAAATAGTCATAAGATATGAAAACAATCTTTTGGTAGGGAAATTTTAAAACAAACTTATAATTAAAAATACAAAAATTTAAATGGTACTTTTAATTTTCACTAGTCTGGTATGGTTTTTGACAAGATAAGAGTAAACTAATTTAAATGACAAAAAATAATTCACAATTAAAATACCAAAAAATAATAGTAAAAAATAAAAAAGGGTAATGTCTTGGTTTAATATAAATAAGATGGTAGACAGGTACACAGGTACAAAGGGTAAAATAAAGGTTTTAGTTGAATATACAAAAATTTAAATTTGGGGAAAAAATGTTAGGGAAGTATAAAAAAATGTTTAAAGTACAAAAGTAAAATTGGCTTGGGATAAATTGGGGTTTAAAAAATTTTGAAGTAATAATGATTTCAAAAAAGGAAAAAAGTTTATTTCATTCAATATTGCACTGGTAGTTTATTTATTTATTTACAATTTGAGCACACATCAGAGGTACAAAAAAATACAGATAAGAAGGGACATGCCAAAGCCCTTAACTATGCATAGCATTTTGGGCTGGCTTAAAATTAACTTAAGATTAAATAAGCAATGATGAAATCAGTGATAAAACATTAAGAAAAAAGATTACTATAAAGCACAAATGAGTTTACAAGACAGGGCATATGGTTGCATGCATTGTTGTAATTCATGAATGGAGTATTCGTTAGGTAGTGTATTTTTAAAAAATAATGTTAGATTTGGGTTTTTTTGGGTTTTAAAATTTTGATAATTGTGAGAAAAATTTAAAATTTAAAAAATTTATAGGTTCAGTTATTTGTATTTATTTTGGGTTTTGGGGGAGTAAGTGATCTTTGAGAAGAGACTTGAATTTTAAACGGTATGTTTCTTTTTTAATTAATGTAATGAATTTCCGATTTTAGGGCCTTTTATGTGCTTTAGTTTTTTCATAGCGTGAGATGGACCGAGGGAAAAAAAGAGTGATCGGCCTTGTGTTTGGCATGTGTTCTTTGGGTTGCAAGGAGTTGTTTGAGGGGGGGTTTTAAATCAGAGTTAAAGGTTCTAGTATGTAAGGTTCAGTAATAAGTTGGTGTTTTGTAGGTAGTAGGTCGAGTGATTGAAAATTGGTGGAGTGGCGCCGTAGTGGGGAATTTATCTTTTTAACGCAGCCTTTTTTTGGGTAATTTGTGGCTAGAGGTTACTTGTTTTGGCCCCATGCACAAATTTCCCTAGGTGAGATGGGGTAAATAAGAGTATATAGGGCCAGGAGGGTGACTGTGGGCATATCCGTATCTTCGAAGTATGCCTACGTCTTGGAAATTTTTTTAGAAATTTTTTTGTATGTGTGGAAATTTGGTCTATTATCAAGGTGGATTCCTAAATTTTCCCTCTGTTAGCTTTGGTAGGTGATCCGTTTTTTTTTATGTTTAAAAGGGAATTGTAGCTGTTAAACCCAAAATGAATGAAGAGGTTTTTTTTCAATTTTTAGTGTAATTTTAGTCCTCATCCAGGTAATATTTTCTGAATTCGGGATTTACAGTATTGGCTAGCGTGACTGGGCTCGGGGGGGAGAAGAGTATGTGTGTCTCGCAAATATGTGGGTTTGAAATTGCAAAGCATTTGGTAGGTCATTTAGTATAGGAAAAGAGAAGGGCAAGGGCACTTCCCTGTGGGACACCAACGTAAATTGGGTTTTGGGAGAAGAGTTTGCCCCCCTTTGCGTAACATATTGGCTTCTGTTGCTGAGGTAAATTGAGGTGTTGAGGGAGTGCCCCCTTATCCCCTATGTGACATTTTTTTCGTGGACAAGCATGGTCAACGTATCAAAACTTTAGAAGTCAATGAAATCCCCAGTGGACTTCTTTTTTTCTCTATTGCAGTGTATATTGTTCTGTTGTGATAATAGCTCATTTTATTTTTATTTGGCCCGAATCCAAATTGGCAGGGGTTGGGTTGTTTTGGGAGATAAGGTAGGAGTAGATTCGTTTATGAATTAATTTTTCGAAGATTTTTTGAGAGGGTGTAAATTGGATATGGCCTATAGTTATTCAACTCTGTTTGGTCTCCTCCTTTGTGGACCGGGTTGACCCTTGCTATTTTGAGTATTGTTACTAGAGGTTATATGGCAGTACAAGGTAATTAAGAGTACTCTAAGATAGTAAATGTGGTATAAAACAGGTAAGGTAATTAGACAAGTAATGGTTATTAAATGTCAAAAATGTTAAGAGTAAATTGAAATTATAGTAAAAATTGAAAATTATTAATTTTAGTAAGTAATATCAATTGATAGTATTTAAAAAATATGAAGTAATAATATGGACAGAAAGTATCAATTCAGCTAATGTTTAAGCAAAAAATAGTAAATAAGAAAATTACATAAGGTGACTTATGCTTACTAGTAAAATCACAAAATGAGGTAGTTGATTATTTAATTACTAAGATTGTACAATGAAATTTGAACAATAATGGAGCAAAACATTCACTACACTACGTAGGCTTTTAGGTTGGACATTGTTTAGTTATTCTCTGTAAGATTAGTATCCCTGAGAAATCGTGATAGATTATTCTCGTTCGTTATTGTGTACAGTTGACCTACATTTGTTTTCCTAACAAGAATTTTCCATCTCGTGTGAAGCATTGGTGTATTGTCATTATTCTCCCGTTAAGTTTTCCCAACTCTATAAAGGAGGTTCTGACATTTTTTGGCAAGACACTCGTTTATGTACACCTCTTTTTATTAAGGTTTATGTATACCTCTGAGAATAAGTATAAATATCCTAAATTATTGCAACAGATAGGACAAATTGTAGATATAAATTCAGAAATACTTCCTGTTAGAACTTTGAGCCTAGCTCCTAGTCCTTTCAAAGCATACTGTCCACAGGATGAACATGGATGCACACTGAATAGCTGCTTTGGAGGCAAAATAAAAATAAACCTTCAGTGATAGTATTATATCCTTCTAGCTTCAAAGATGCTGTCTTGTTGGAACATCCCTTGTACACAACTTTCCTAATATGAATCCTGTCCTGGCTTTCTCTGTAGGTGCCTTCCTCTTTAATTACATTATCAAAGGGACCAAACTTCAGAGCACCTGTGACTTGACCTGGTCTTTCTCTCTTGACCTTTCCTTTCTGCCTTTTTTCTTCTGCCTAGTGGATACTGTGTCCAGTTGTAGCACATGTTTCCAGCATTACAAACTTGTTTCCACACTGCCACTATTCCTATCATGTGCATTAAGGTTCAGGGGGACTGGGGTTATGCAATGTGGGGCTACCTTTCTCAGATCGCTGTTACCAAAATACACCTGACTCGGAATTAGGAAGTCCTGACGTTGGAACTTTTACTCATCGAAAGGACTTTAGCCTTTGACAGTTCACATGAAAAATTATTAAAGATCAAGCATAGTATGTTATAAACTTGTTCGGTAAGTGCGTGTAGGCTGAAAAATATTCAGTGAATGTTTTATTTTTTAATAGGAAAGAGATCTGACATGGAAATTCAACATTACCTGCGTCGCACTCAAGGCAACATGACTAAGACGCCGGTGGCTGTGGGTGTGTTAACACATTCTATGGCAGAGCAACATAGTCTTCCTAACACACCATACAAGGTGATAATACCCACCTCAGTCTACAGATAGTTATGGCTAATTGTGCTCATTTAAGAGCTTCAATTAAGCATTATAGGCAATAAAATACAATAAGAAGGACGAGAAACTGTTAAATAGGTTAGTTTCAATTTATTGGTAAGAACAGGCTATTTATAGGAAACTGCTGAAATCTTGAGTTAGACAGCACCTGGGGAATGGTAGACAATCAGGTTAGATTCAAGGAAGAAGGAAAGTTTAATTGCTTGTCTCGCATGACAGCAGCAGTAACAGCCTGGTTGATCAGGCTCTGATCCACCAGGAAGCCTGGTCACAGACCGGGGCCGCGGGGGCGTTGACCCCCGGAACTCTTCCAGGTCTCCTGACCAGCATTAAGGAATCCCATTGAAGGAAAGGGGGATGGGGAGTAAGGATAAGATGGAATCATACACTGATGACTGGGTTGGAAAGTGGTGATACATGTGTGGCTTCTCAAAGGTACATGGGAAAGGGTCACTTAAAAGAATCTGGGGTAGTGTTAGGTGAGATTACATTTTGCAATACCTTGTGATGCTGGATCATAATACTATAGGGGGTCTCGCCATCTGTGCTGGATCATATTGTAGTGGGTCGCCTTACTGTTGGTGTTTATGCTTCCAGTGCTGGATTATAGTGTGGGGTTTGTGCCCTCTCCCCCCCCCCCCCTGCTAGGTAACCTATAATTCTTGTATTGGAGACACCTGGCTGGAGAAATAAAACTGAACTTATAGTACTAGAGTTCAGGGGAAAGTGGGTGGAGGAAAGTTTAGACGGGTAGACAGTTAAGATAGTGACCCTTTAAAAGGGATGGGAGAGGATCTTGGCTGGTGTGACCCTAAGGGTGGGGGAAGTGGAATGCTTAGTCTGGTTACCTTCAATGGGATGCCTTGATGCTGGCAAAGGGTTCTTGATTGAAGAAATTCAAGCTACTCTTCCGGTCAGTTTTTTCCCATTATCCATTATCTCGATGGATTTACCACTTTTCCAAGAATATACACTGAAAATAAACTGGAAGAGGTACTGACAATAGTATTTGTTTGTACTATGTTGATTATAATTATGGGCAAATATTAAACCCATAGGAGTTAGTTATCAGTGGCTGTAAATCTTAAAATTACTTTCAGAGGGCAGTTGCTGATATTGTGAAATTGCTTAAAAATGAGACCCAGAAGATGAACTTAACCATGGAAGACCTCCTGCCTCCGGTGGACCAGCCCTACTATCAGTACAGGTCAGTGGATAAGCTGTGCTGTTGCTGGTACAAGTCAGTAATCATACACAGTTAGGTAATAGGACACTTGCAACTAATGCAGTTATTTACTGTGGTAATGTTTCGCTCTGCAGAAGCAGCATCAAGCTTAAGTTCCTGGAGAGCGAAACGTTGCCACAATAAAATGTTGCAACAGTTGCACGTCCCCCCCTTTTTTTTTAACCTAACATTGTCGACAATTCTGCCAACATTATCATACACCCTAAACTTACTCTTGTTCCCTCCTTCCTCCTCAGCCTCTGAAGTTGTAACATTCTTCCACCTAGCACTGATGTAAATTTAGACTAGTACCCCTACATTGAAGGATTTAGTGTTGAAGGCCTCTTTAGTCTTATTATAATCAAAACTAAGTGCTAAACACACCAGTGTTAATAGCCTCTTGGTCTAAAGAATTGGAAACTATCCACTTTCCTCAATTATCCCTGCTTAATCTCTTCCTGCATACAGTTTTCTAGGTGCTATATGACCCAGGCAAGTGTTTACCAATGAATATTTTAAAAGTAACTGTCACTGAAAATAGAAAACTGTTTGCAGTGGCAGTGTTCCTGGCTCTTGTTCAGAGGAAACGGAGGGGTTGGTATATGAAGTAGAGATGAACACAACCTCTGAACTGCTACACACACTCAGGATGCAGTCAGACGTGCAATCTTTCTTGACATGGTTCAAGCTTCTCCGATATATTTTACTCAAACTGGTGAGTAGCATGTTAGTATAGTTTGCATGGTTTTATGCCCTTTTCCCCATCTGAATGAAGCACCTTGATGCCAGGGAATGTCTTGATTGAATGAATTAATGCTGCTGCTCTTGCATCTTGCCACTGATAACTCAGTTTTCCCAGGTGCGTATGACTCTTACAGATTTAGTAAGTCCATACTAATTCTATTAGTTATGATCAGAAGTTAATTTGATTGTGTATATACATTACAAGGAGGTAGATTATAGACAGCAATTGCCCAGGGAGGTACTACCATCCTGCCAAGTGAGTGAAACCGAAACCTGTAATTGTTTTACATGATAGGATTGCTGGTGTCTTTTCAGTCTCCTAAACCTGCAAGGTTTCAGGGACATCTTGCTACTTCTAGTTACTTAGGTCATAAGACACATACATGTACAAGCAAAATATACACACCCCCTCTGGGTTTTCCTCTATTTTCTTACTAGTTCTTGCTTATTTCCTCTAATCTCCATGGGAAAATGGAACAGATTCTTCCTCCGTGAGCCATGCGTGTCGTAAGAGGAGACTAAAAATAAATATATACATATATATTTAAAAGTAGAAACTTTAGTTTTTCATTTTGGTTCACCTGGCCTCTGGGATACTAAACCCGTTGTTGAAAGGACATATTTAAAAACTGCAATTGCTTATTTTAACTATTTACAGGAGTGGAGCATCAAATGGCATTAAACTACAGGCGCAAAGATGCAACCCAATGAGATAAATGAAACTTCATCAGAAATGGAAACCTGAAGCTAACAAGAATGTCATGGAGCCTGCAGAGGGCACACTTGGTATCCTTATGCAGTATCGAATACAGTGCCCATTTTCCCAGAGGCAACTCTTGTTGCATCAGAAGTTATTAGCATGAGCCTTCAGAGTGTTGTACCAGTGAGGACAAGAACCCAGAACACAACTTTACCATTTTCTACTTCAAGAAGCACCACCCATTCCAATATTGATCGTTAGAAAAGGCACCATCAAGCAATGGCTCGAGCACAAACCAATTAAACAAGGAAATGTCACATACTGCCCCATCAAGTGAGCTACAGACCACTACTTCATTACACACAATTACCCCAGTAGACAGTGGGCTAGAAGCAATTTCAACATGCATGCAAATGGCACATATCAAGCAGTGGGCTAGAGAGCCCTTTAGTGCACACACAAACTACTGAAACACTGGGTTCCAAGGAATGGCACCGTGCCAAAGCTGTTTGCTTTTTTTGGGATTTGATTGTAACAAATTTTTTTTAATTTAGTTAAGCTGCATTGTTTTTATGCCTTTTATTAAATTACAAATGTATATTTTCTTCCAACCAATGGATTACATGCTTGATGGCAAAATTTAAGTACTGGAAATGTCCCTGGAATTCAAATTTAAGATACCTTGATGCTGAAGTGCTTGATCACTGGGATTAAAGTACTTTTCCTTTTGGATTTGAACTTAATCACAATTTTTTTTAATAACTGGGGGGGGGGGGAGGGGAAAAACAGGTTGACAACATTCTCTATTTGATATTTTGGAGTCTTCTAGGCTGGAATACGTCTGAGTAACCATCGTTGCTGCTGGGTTCATACAGATAACCCAGTGGTTAAGTTGGAGGGCTAATGCATTTCTTTTTCTTGGGGGGGGGGGGGGGGGGATATTTGGTCAAAACTGGTTTTTTTTACTTATTGATATTATTTTCATGGGGAAGTTGTTAAGCCCATAGGCCCTCAAAAAAGTCTTTGGGGAATAGGAGGTAATCATGTTGATTCAAGGTTAGTGGCTCCCAAATTACTTGGAATGGAAAAACCCTTAACTGGCACTGAGTACCTTGAAGGGGAAACCCTGTGGTTTTGTTACCAAAATATGTAAATTTTACTTTTTTGTGACATTCAAAACAAAATTGATCACTTGGACCTTTTTTTTTTTTTTTTTTTTTTTTTTTAAACTAAAGGGAAACTCCTCCATTCTTGTGGACAATCAGATGTCCACTCGATTGTCTACCAAGACAATTTTTTAATAACTGGGAGGCAATAACCAGGTTATTTAGACTTCATACTTTCTTTGATAGATTTTTTAGTCTTCCAGGCTGGCATAACAATCTGTATCTGAGTAGCCATCACTGCTGCTCGAGTCATCAGATTCCCGTTTATTTGGTGTGGTGGTTTATGAGGCTTCAGCTGAGCCTTTGTAAGGTGACTGGCTGGGTTCAGTGTACATCAGAGTCACTGTCAGTTTCGTACTTTCTTCCTCAAATGTTTTTTTACATTTTCTTGTATTCCCCCTTTATCGTCATCACTAGGAATGAACAAATTTCTTTGTTCCTAAGTAATTTACTT